GTGAGCCACCACACCCAGCCACCTCCCACATTTTTAAAGAAGTGAACTATTAATAATACTAGCTAGGCAAACTTCCTTTCTTAAGGGGGTACTCCTAAATGCTGAAATTGAAAACAAACAACACATTTTACCATAGGAATATTTAGCTACCTTTTAAATTTACTTCATGATCAGGAAATGCAAAGACTAAATAAGTGCCTAAGACAGATAGCTTAATACATTAAGAACATGGACTCTGGAGTCAGCTTAGAACCAAATGGTGGTTTTACTACCGTGTTACTTTAGGAAAATTATTGTTTTCTCTGTGCCTCCGTTTCATCATCTGCAAAATGAAGATAATAATGGGACCTACACTGAAGAGTTTTAGAAGGATGGTATGAGATAACGGATGTAAAATGCTCCTAAGCGTGGGAGACATATTAAATGCTTGATAAATATGAGCTACTACTACCACTGTGATTAGCCCCAAATTTACTAACTCATGATGCCTCTCAGTGTACATTTTTATAAAATTTAAGGGAAAAATGCTATTCTACAGGATTTGTAATTGTTAATGCCAACATTTATTCATTTATTGCATATTAGTAATAAGACAGGTACTATGTTAGACATATGGCATTATAAATACCACATGCTTCTAGGCAATGAGCCAGTTAAATAACAAATTTTATAGGAAACTAAAGGTACATGTTGCCCTGAACTCTGGTAAAATGTGTCACAATATAAAAAATGTTTGTTAATAATGACAATGTAGGCTATCATTAATTAATATGAAATGTATTAATAAAATCATGTCAGTAGCAGAAACTGCTTTTTGGTTTAAATTTCTTTTACAGATGTAATCAACTAACTAGGAAGTACAAAGGACTAGAAAAAAGAATGGTAATCTGAGTCTGATTCCTGCGTTTCATAGCACAGCTCAACTTGACACACAATAGGTGCTTAATAAAGATTTGTCTTGTCTAAGATACTACGACTACAAAGCACTCCAGAGTTAATACTGGTTCAGAGGAGACATTGCCACCTAGTGAAAAATCAGCCTTATTACGTAGAATTATCAAATAATGTTGAGAACTTCCCAAATTAGACTTGACTCCACTGAAAACACTACATGCGTATTTATTATGTGTCAGTATTCTGGGTAGGTACTAGTAGGAAAAAGATGAACAAGCTTCCATCTTTGCTTCTTACAAAGTATAGAAAATATAAGGAAACTACATACTCCACAGAGAAACAAAGAAAAAACTGTACTGTAGAAAAAACAAGGTTTGATTATCAGACATTTAGAAACTAATATTTCAAGAAATGTGCTGAAAAGGAAATTTAGTGTAGCAAATGAGAGCATGGACTCCAGGAGCAAACTGCATTGATTTAAAGCCATGGCCCCTGTAAAGTGAGGATAACAGCCCCTATGTCACAAGATTATTGCAGAAACTTAAAAACAGTACCAGGAACAAAGAAAATGCTATGGAAGTATTAACCAAAATTATTATTAAATTTAGAACAATATCCTAGAGACCGAGGTGAATAAATATTGATTAATAACAAAACATTAACTGAAGTCTAGCTTCATGAATTTAATTCAGTAGAAGCCGTTTCTCTGACTAGTGCTCTGTTATTATGGGAATCCTAAAAGTACATTATTTGTGGTACCCTGTGACTAAATTTTGTATTACTGGATGATTAACCCTTTCAACATCAGGCAAATAAAACTGCCTTCTGAAAGTAAAAATCATATTTCTTACCAAAAAAAGCAAAAAGTCAGTAGAATGAAAGACCCGAAAGACCACAACCTGAACATATGTTTACCAGGGAAAGATGCTTGCTAACTCTTCACAGATTTTGCTAGAACTGAAAGATGGATGATACATTTAGTTACCACTGTGGTCTCATTCACAGCTTGTTTAGCTCATAAAAAAAATAAGCTTGCTCCATTTTCCTTGAAAATTATCTGATAATTTTTTAAAACACCACTTAAAAATCTCTGAAGTCTTCTGTGTTTTTTTGAATTTTATACTATTAAAATATTTATGTAAAGCCATATGTAAACTTTATTTTCAAACAAAACATTATGAGCAAAATATTCCTGTATTAAAAAATAAAATAGACAAAACTCTAATAGGTCAGTAATAAACATTACACTTTTCTTATGGATCTATACCATTCACAAGAACTCTGCTAAATCTTAGATGTCTTAAGATTACTTAACTTCTTCCTAAGCTTCCTCTTTTTAAAAATAGCAACAAGTTGGGAGAATGTGTTGAAACATTTTTGAGTTTTAATTTGTTTGTAAAGGTGTGTTTGCATATCAAAAATTGTGTTTGTGATATATTGCACAAATAATTTTAATTTAATGTGCCTATTATTTGAATATTTTAATTTCTAAAATGCTCATGGAAATCCTTCCTTTTGCACATTAAGATAGTGTGGAAATAACATTATGTTTTTAATTTTATGCATTTATACTCTAATAAATTGACCTGGAAAGAAACATACTTTAATAAATAAAAGACTGACCAACAGAGTAAAAGAGAGGAGAAAAAAACTCTTCAACTCCTTTCTACGTAGAGCTGCTTATCAGCATATTAAAACAGAAATTCTTACATATAGTCAAGTGTATACTGGTTGGATAAGCATAACAACCCATTTTATCTTTTGTTTCAGTACTGTGCTTATCAATTTACCTAGTACTTTCACAGTCATGGTCTCACAGTATCTTCACAAATACCTCTCTTAGGTAGGACAGGTACTAGTACTGTAGTACCTTTTAATAGATACGAAAATGAAGCTTCAGGAAAGACGCTTGTGCAAGGTCACTAGAGGAAGAGAATAGAGCCTAAACCCCGTTTTTTTGGACTCCTAAAATGCTTAGCTCTTTCTACTACTATGCCTCTAGAATGGACTTCCATGCTTATTGCCTAAAAACCAAATTGGCAAACCTAACTATCCTGGGCTAATCTGATGATAAAATCCTCTGTCAGTGACAAAAAATAAATTGCTTGAAGAAAAGATAGAGTGGAACTTTAATGTGTATGTGTAGTGAAATTTTCAAAGGCATAAAAAGCAAATTAGAAATTGAATGAAGACTATTGTAAAATCTCTTAAGAGTCTGAGGAAATAACTGTGCTGCCTATTTCCTGTATAACAGTTCCAAATATAAAGTACTTTGGTATAACTCTTCATTTATGTGAAGATTTAGAGTGGGTACAAAGAGAGAACTGTTTCAGGATACATGTTGAAACTAGACACCAGATTTGGACATTGAATGATATGAGGAATCCATCTGTTTTTTCCTATAATCAGGCAGTGCTTATTTTTGCTAACGTCTGCTTGTAACAGTAAATGGTACTGTGTTGGTTGACAATTCCACCATTAGTAATAGTGTTCTATAAATCTCAGTATGTGTTGCAGAAATGATTTCCTCTCTATAAAGTTCTTTAAAATAAGATTAAATCTTGATTTTACAATAAATTATGCTAGAAAACATTTTTTTCTAGCATAATTCACCCAGGAAGGCATAATATAATCCATACTGTGATCAAGAACTTCAGATTTATAACTTAATTGCCTAACAACTTAGTATTTATCACAACCATTAATCAATTCAATCTATATTAACTTAATACACTTAGCTTTCCATAAGCAAATCAAAGAAACTAACGAAGACTTTTCATTTTTGTACAAGAATATATGAAGAAAACAGAAATGCAATTTTGAGAATGACAGCACTAACAGTATAATATAGAAGAGTGAAATTCTAATTTCAGGACAGAAATTAAAGAAATATATGAAAACCAGCATAAATCCAAAGAATTATTAAAATACCATACTGTCCCTGAAAAATAAGGTATCCAAACTTTTTATTTCTTATTATTTCTCAGAATGTTAGAATAGTGTAATTGCAGACCTGAAAGACATTAGATTTCTAATTCCAGGTGATGTTTTCACTGACATGTGATTTTCCCCCTACTTTTTATGTTAAGAAACTCTCAAAACTACAACTTATTAAAACTATATGCTTTAGTTAAGAACATAGGATAAAAATATTAACTCAATAGTCAACCGAAAACATTAAAGATCTGTATTTCCTAAGTGTTATTTACCTCTTAAATTTAGTTAACATAGTCCAAATAATTTTTAGGTAAATTCTATTTATTTAAATTGATTTACAAAGAAACTGGTGGCTAGCTTTCTGTGATTCCAACGGAAGGGCACAATTGTTAGGTGTACTTTGATCAGTATTTAAATGGCAGACAGATTCCTGGTTTAGTCTAAATGTAAATGTTACTCTAAAAATTCTTTACTTACCAAGTGGTGGACTTACCGTGGAAATCATAAATATACAGAAGAATTGGCTCATTTTGCCCAAATGCACAGAATGCAACCATATTTTCAAATGGATGATAAGAAATGTCTCGAACAGGTGACTTGAACGGCAAGTCAGAATACATGGCTACTTGTTCTCCTAAATAAAAAGAGAAATTAAAAAATGTTTATCAGAGCATATCTATATCAGATAAATCTTGTTACAAGATTATTCTGCCATTTATTAGAAAATATAGTAATGCTCATATTATTTATGTGAAAACCTCAAATATTTAAAAATGTTTGAGTAACAATGTATGAAATTATCTTTATTTTACATTTCCTTGACCCTCCTCTTTCTACTTTCTACCTCTTCAATGAGGTTTTCAAGGCACAAAAGAAAGACAAAGGGCACAGAAGGAAGTAGAGAGGTATATGACTCTGAGATTGGAGATTGGACAGAGCTAAGCAAACTCCAAATGACAGAGAACTCTGGGTAGAACTATGGGAGAAATTACAGGACTCTAAAAGTAAAGAAACTCTAGTTGGGTGAGTTTTGGTGAAGGATTAACTTTTCCATTTTTTTTTTTTTTTTCCCCAGATGCTGTTTGAGGTACCCATTTGCTTGAAAGATACTTATGACTCTGGCCTAAAAGATGTCTAAAGCAGAGATCTGGGGAACGCAGGAAAATCAGTCAGGAATCAAAAAGCAAAGAATCTAGGTTCATTTATTGAAGGTGAGGGAGACAACGCTACTGAATTGATGCTAAAGCATCAAAACACGGTACAGGAAACATTCAAACAAAAGCCTAAGTTAGCTGACTAGTCAAAATGCCTAACAGAAAGAATACAAAAATAAACAAGGAAAAAAATCAAATACTGTTCATTAAAGAAATTTAAAAGTTAGTTTTATGAAATTCTCTCAATTTCTTATTAAAAACATTCATGTAGCTTTAGATTTTCTTTTGAAAAGCAAACGTGAGGCACAAATGAGCTTCCCAATATGATTGTTTATTGGAAAAAAACTGAATTGCAGTAATTCAGGTAACTTGCTATTTAAGTTTCAGATATCAAAACTATCACAGGTATGTTTCTGTTACTAATGAAAATATATTATAGATGTTTAACAATTTGTCTACCTAATCATATTCCAAATTCAGCTTGTAACATTTTGTACTTTGTGTTAGTCTCCATTAAATGATTTTCTAAGATCAGCAATGTCTCATAGGCCATGAAAGAACAAACCTTGAATTATAGTGTGAAATTCTAAATCCATAAAGATATTAAAGCAATAGAGAACAAAATTTAATACAAGTTTAGGCTGTAGCGAAGTTCCTCTGAAGGCTTTCTAATCTTAAAAAACATAATTGAAAACCCGAAAGCAGAATTTCCTTGAAAATTATTCCATAAAAATGGTAGAATTTTCACACTTCTTCAAAGCCCTGTACCTCCCCAAACGATTTTTAAAGTTCAATAAATACTCACCTGTTTCTGGGTTCCAAACATACACTATACCATCCTCACTTCCAGCAAACAGAAAAGTCCCACATGGAGTCAAAGTACTATGAATCTTCTCCCGATAATTTGCTGCTCCTACAAATTTCCTTGCTACTAATCTACAAGCAGAAAAGATGTTACAAATGTAACTGTCTTAATCATGTAAATGACTGGTGGTATAATATTTTCTCTTAAATACTTAATTTCCATTCAACAAACATTTTTTGAGAATCTGTCATATGGGAGACATTATATAATATAATGGATGCAGAATAAAGGAGAGCTAGTCCCAAGAGCCCAGGGAGTTTATAATTTAGCAAGAGAGGAGAAACATGTCAATGTAAAATAGAAGGTGGATGTAGAACGTACTGCAAAAGACAAACAGAAAAGTTCTCTTCTTTTTTTTTTTTGAGACGAAGTCTCGCTCTGTCCCCCAGGCTGGAGTGCCGTGGCCGGATCTCAGCTCACTGCAAGCTCCGCCTCCCGGGTTCACGCCATTCTCCTGCCTCAGCCTCCCGAGTAGCTGGGACCACAGGCGCCCGCTACCTCACCCGGCTAGTTTTTTGGAATTTTTAGTAGAGACGGGGTTTCACCGTATTAGCCAGGATGGTCTCGATCTCCAGACCTCGTGATCCGCCTGTCTCGGCCTCCCAAAGTGCTGGGATTACAGGCTTGAGCCACCGCGCCCCAAACTTGGACAAGAGAAATTAATTCTAGCTACGGAGAAAGAGAGACTATGGATAGCATTTGAGCTGGTTACTAAAATAATGGATAGAATTTTTATATTCATATAGTATTCTATCTGATGAATTTTAAAAATAATACAAGGAATATTTGATCTCTGAAAAAAATTAGATAAAACATATTATTAAACCATCTGCTAAATATGGTACATAGTCTTCCATATTTTTGCACTCACGAAAAAATAGTAAACACCATTTCAGCACATACTTTGTCCCAGGTAGGCACTATTACCATCTCTAACACCAAACAAAAATGCACTAGAAGTCCATGCTGATTTTCCCAGAACGCTGCTTCTACCTTTTACAGGAAGAATATTTCCCTACGTTCACCATTATTTGGAAATAATGGAAAAAAACAAGGATGTATAAATCACAAGCCCTGCCTTGTTATATCATATTATACTAATGCTGTAACAGTATCATAGTGATAATATCAGTATCAATCAATATCATTGTTGAAGGTAGAAGTTTTTTTTTAATTGTGAAAATAAAAGCAACTAACTACATTTCAGCCTCAGAACTATTCACATTTTGGGCTGGATAATTGTTTTAGGGAGACTGTCCTATGGGCTGTAGGATGCTTAGCAATATTTTTGATCTCTACTCATTAGATACTAGAAGTAACATAAAAAAAAAAAAAATCTCCAGATACTGCCACACATTCCTTGGTGAGTGTGGGGACACTGCCTAGTTGAGAACCACTACCGAATTTTATAAATATAATTTAATTCATTACTTATTCTGTGAGTACTTATCCTGTCAATACTGAAATATACTTACATCCGGAGATCCATAATTCTCAAAGTACTGTCTTTGGTATGAATTAACAAACGTTTTCCATTGGGATGAACCTCCATATAACTTATTGGAATCCCCTTAAACTCAGTTTCTTTAATTTCCTAAAATGATAAAAAAAAAATACTACTAATGAAAAGTTTATCTAATGTTAAACGTTTTTGGGGGTACAAAATTAATCTTAAAATATCTTTTCCAATTCTGCAGTATAGGATGCTTTATAACTGTTAGCAAAAGGATTCTGAGTAACTTCAGTTTAGGGTTGAAAATAAAGCTGATGAACTGTATTTTTGTGTTGTTATGCAATGTGTAAATGCACATTTAATTATTATGTGTTTTTGTAGTATGTTCACTTTCCCAAAATTTAGTCAATCCCAAACAAGAAGCACTTTCAACAAACACATCTTGTAACATTAAATTTTTTGTTTAAAATCATGCAAGAAGCTTCCAATTTTTATAAATTCAAAACCACATGTAGAATTAATTTTCAAGTTTCTATTCTTATTTAGATAAGAATTTCTAACAACAGATGAAATGCTTTTTCAACAGATCTGACAGACTCAATGGATTTAACTAAAATTCATGAAAATTATTTTTCACTTAGGGTGTCTTTTTTCAACTACTGTCATTATTAAGAAAAATTGAAGAAAAAGGTATAATATGTTAGGCAGAAACTGGATCAATTTATATAAAACAAATTCAAGTTTAATGATTCATTTGTATTTTTAAATACAAAGTAAAAAATGTACACTAACAAAATTGCTTTACAAGCTGTCTTAAAAACACTCCAGCCCCCAATGAAAGAACTTACTCATTTGTTTCCATTTAGCAAATTTCAAATGAAATAATTATTGTGACTAAATGACAGACTTTCATAATAATTACATAACTCTGAAAGACACCAGTGTTGACAAAGTACTGAGAACACTGTTTTTAGAGATGTTATTGGACCAAGGAAAAAGGATATAACAGAAAATATAAATTATTACTTATCGATGGTAATATAACATACATCTCATTTTAGCATAAATGTCACCCAACGGATTACCGAATGCCACAGTGCAAATGGGATATAAAAAAGTGAAACTAACATCTGGCCGAAATTTTAAAAATCTTCACTAAGTCATTACATCATCAATCAGCCACCAGGAGGGTGTGCTAATTAATTATAGATAAATGACTAAGAAAAAGTGTTGGCCGGGCGCGGTGGCTCAAGCTTGTAATCCCAGCACTTTGGGAGGCCGAGACGGGCGGATCACGAGGTCAGGAGATCGAGACCATCCTGGCTAACACGGTGAAACCCCGTCTCTACTAAAAAATACAAAAAACTAGCTGGGCGAAGTGGCGGGTGCCTGTAGTCCCAGCTACTCGGGAGGCTGAGGCAGGAGAATGGCGTGAACCCGGGAGGAGGAGCTTGCAGTGAGCTGAGATCCGGCCACTGCACTCCAGCTTGGATGACAGAACCCAGAAAAAAACTTAAAAAAAAAAAAAAAAGAAAAAGTTTAATTTTTTGAAATGAGAGAACAGAATGTCCTGACATCCTATCTTAAAGTCATGTGACTGGAGTTTTCCAACTTCAATTAAATCCCATAATATAAAATATGATTTTATACCTTATTTATAGTCCAGTGGCGCACTGAATGTTCCAAATCATTAACCTTGACATAGGTATTCCAAACAACAATCACCCCTGTACAGTCTCCTGAATACATATGATGACCTATTTAAAAAACAAGATTACTCACTTATGAATGTCCCAGAGTTAGAAACAAATAATAGGAGACTGGGGGAAACCATACCCCAGTAAAACAGTCAAAGAATTGAAGGGCTATTAAAAGGTATTTCAGTTTAAAAAAGTCAAAAATCAAAATGCAACTCACAAACAAACCCCAATTATCTTTAAATGAATTCTTTACTCTTTTAAATTATTTTTGATGACTTATTTCCCTTTGTCACTTACCTGAATTTAACTACAAAAAGAAATGAGCCTCTCAGTACATGTGTATATGGCTCATATTCCAAAGCCAAATAATTTGAACCATCCTACATGTAACATTATTTCTCACTTTATTAACCTATAAATCTGTTTTGGAGTCCTAGAAAAATACCTATATTCTAATACATAGTGTTAGCATAATACCTGAGACCCAGTAGAAACTCATTAAATGATCAGGAAATGAATAAAATAATAAATAACAGGTATTCCAATTTAACATCAATTCTTTGGAGTCAAATCATCTTAAAGTTGACAGACCTCAGAAAGTTCAACTTCATACCCACTCAGGAATATCTCAACCACCACCACTAACAGATGGCTGTTCAGCAACTGTGAATTCAGTATTTTACAAAAAACAGCTATTCAATTGGTGAACTGCTTCCTGTATTAAAATATTCTTTGTAATTCTGAATGAAGAAAATCTACCTTCTACAGCTTTGGCCCACCTCTACCCATTGGAGTAAAATGGACCAATTTCCTTTTTTTTCTTTTTTGCACATTTGGGTATCTTACGGCCAAATAGTTGAAGAAAGTCTTTATGTCTCTTTTACAATCTGAACTACTGCTATTATGACAGAGTTAGTTTTCAGATACCTTTCTTTCCTGAATATGTTCTAAATTTATTAACATCCCTACAGCTGAACTGAGTAAATCAGCAGTATTATCCTTTTGATCTGGATCCCATGCCAATTAATTATAGTGACAGCCTACATGCCTAGTCTCTGAAATTATGTAAAAAGTGACTATTTAATAGATATAATAAATTTCTTTATTCTTTCAGATAATAAAATGATTTATGTTTTACATCTTTAAGACATACTACATTATTCTTTTTTTTGAGACAGAGTCTCACTCTGTCACCCAGGCTGGAGTGCAGTAGCGCGATCTCAGCTCACTGCAACCTCTACCTCCCAGGTTCAAAGCGATTCTCCTGCCTCAGCCTCCCAAGTAGCTGGGACTACAGGCACCCAGCACCACACCCAGCTAATTTTTTGTATTTTTAGTAGAGATGGTGTTTCACCATGTTAGCCAGGATGGTCTTGATCTCCGGACCTCGTGATCAACCCATCTTGGCCTCCCAAAGTGTTGGGATTACAGGCATGAGCCACAGCGCCCAGCCACTATATTATTCTTACTTTAAATAATTGCAAATTTCCCTTCTATATGTTTGCAAATTTTAAGGTTCTTGAAAGAAAGTAAGAATGATAATCACCAGTCCAAATAAATATATTTATGCAATTTTAAATGTTTAAGAGTAACTTAAAAATTACAAACAGAACTCCTTCAATGCCAAATCTATCATATGACCTGCAAAACAAGCATACACCTAAATATGCACAATCATCAGTACATAACCCTCTCAAGCCTCGATAACTATTATTCTGGTAAAAAAAATTCTTCACATAGCTGGTCTTCATTCATAGTCTCTGACATACCTTCAGTATCAAAACAAAGTGAGTTGATAAAACTTTTGTGAACGTCAAACTGTCGGACCAACATGGCAGAATCCTCTCTCATCTCAACTTTCCATATCCGTATCATGGAATCATAGCATCCTGTAACTACCAGCTCTCTTACAGCTGGATGGAATTTAGCCGTGTAAACAAAAGAAGGATGAGGTAAAACTTTGAAAGTATTTGTATTGTTTATTTCATTTTTCCATATCCTGGAAAAGGATAAGAAGTTACATATTGCTTCTGAAAAGCAGAAGTTTCTTTTAACAGTTTTTCTAAGAACCAACATAGCCAATGAACCTTAAGTAAGCAACTGACAACAACGAATGATAAACTAAGTTTTAAAACAATGAAAAATATGACGATGATCTCATATTTGATGACTGGAATTTTCACATTATGACAAAGTTATTTGTTATAGTTATCATCCAGCATATTATATCCACTAATTGTAATCTATACTATAAAATTAATAACTGTTTTTTAAACCTACCTATTTTGCCATTGGTTAAACACACATTGAACAGTTGGTAAAATATTGCATTTAGTACAATATGCATAAAAAATATACAGGGAGAAACTTTAATGATTTCCCATTTACATTGTGTACACCACTTTTACAAAATGTTTATTAATGGGGGTTTAGAGAATAGCATAGTCTATTAACTTTTATATTTGTAATTTCAAAGCCTAGATAGTAAAAATGAAAATCTCAAAGATTTAAAAGAGATACTAAAATTATTATATTTTGAATTCTCAAGTAAAGTAAGATTAAAATAACTATGACATTTTGATAGAAAAGACTATCCTACATTAAGCACGTCCTTTTTGTTTAACAATCATTATCCTGTCCTCTAAATAATGGCTAATTAAAAAAAATTAAGATTATAATCACTGCGACAGTCTTGACAAATGAGTAAATCCCTAAGGGTTAATCTGTTAAGATACTCTGCATCTCTAGCAATGTATAAAACTAGGTGAACTCTACCAATATACAGGTGCTATATAAGTGTGAAGCACTAGTTTTTAAAATATATTTGGTTATCAAAATTAGAACAACATATTAATTTTAAATATGGGATTTGTATTCATCCTTTTAATCACTGCTTGAAAACTAAAGCAAAGTAAGTCTGTTACAAGATTACTGATAAGAGAAAAAAAAAACAGTTTCTATTCAAGAATAATATTCTATGAGTTTCCTCAGCAGCTGCTTACAATATAGGATATGATCTTCAATTACTAAGAATCCAAACTAATAATAGAGGAAGTGAAAGAACATGTTTTCAAGTAAAAATAAAGCACATGAATCAATTGCACAAACATTTTTTACCACAGTATATTTTCAATAAGCATATTTATATGAAATATGATGCCTATTAGAAGAATAAAACCACTAATTTTGGGAAAATATTAAAAAGATAAAAGATAAAAAACTCAGTTGTTTGGCAAGAAATCTTAGTAGCATTATTTAAAATACTATATAACAGGCAGAAATGAAGCAAATACATCTTCAAAACAGCTCAATATAATTAGACATGATATTAAAAAAAAAAAAGTAAAGCTTTTTGTGTAAAAACTGAACTGGAATCAATGATGGCTTCTGTTACCCAGGCCATGGGAGAATCCGACATTCAAAGGAATATATAAATGGGCTTGGGGAAAAAAAATCAGACTACATAATAGAGAACAAAGAAACACAAACTTGTAAAGACTGAATGAACGCACACAAAAATTACTAGATTTGGGAAAGAAAAAACATACCAAAGTTAAGCCGTATGTTTGGGAAAAGGGAATAGTGGGGACATGTAGGCCTGTTTGGGAGCCATTATACATGGAAAAGTCTTTCTGACTGTATTAGGCGTTGTTGATTTGAGAAAAACAGATTATTCTGGGGATAACTAAATAAGGGTGTTTAGGATAAACCCATATGGCAGAGAGCTAACCAAGTGGGAAATACTTAGGAGACACTGACAATAATATGTGTCAGGGATCCTCAGGAATAAAGAAGGCGAAGACATGGACAGAAATCCATACTTCTGCCACTTGGGAGCATTTGCAATTCTAATTCTCTTTCTTTGGACAACAGCTCATTTATTACAAGTATTCCTTACCTCTCTCAAAAATCTCTTTGCCGTTTTGATGCTAGCCACAATGCTTCTCTTTTCACTCAGTTAATGCTTTCACAATACTATTTTAATGATGTAAACAGTCCTAAATTAATATCAGTTTTAAAGATAAATAAGGAAAAAATGTGTGCTTTAGTATAATATACTACGTATTGTGTGCAGAAACCCAAGATAGCTTCAAGGAATAACAGAAGTTGAGCTGGATTGTAACTAATAACTACAAACCTATGAGAGCTCACAAAAGGCATTTAATTTTTGTTGAACGAATGAGTTAGTCAGCAAGGGTAGGAGAAGGTCATTTAGGTATAGGAAAAGTAGGTAAGTTTCAAAGGGCAGGAAGATGCCAAAGAAGATAAGATGCTAGGGTGTTTCAAAAGATTACATGGGTGAGGCAAAGGGTACGGGGAAGGGCATGAGAGAAGAATGTTGGGTCAGTGAGGAACATGCCTGTTAGGCCATGCTAAGGAACTGGAAAATTTTTCAAGGGGCAATGAGTAAAGTCTTTTAAAAAATTAAGGCATTATGAAAGATAGTTACGGAAAGATAATTTTAGCACAGCAGAGACAGAGGACTTAGAGACTGAACACTGAGGTCAACAGCAAAATAGGGCTTGAATTAAAGCAAACACGATAGAGAGGATGTGACAAAATTGTGAGCCTTTTAGGAGGGAGAATTGGCAGACTTTAGTGCTAGTTAGATGTGAAAGAAGTGATGGGAAAGAAAGAAGAGATGAACACTACTCTGAGTTTTCAGCTTGGGAGATGATGGATAAGGATGCCATTAAAATATATGTAAGAGAATTAAAGGAGGAAAACAACATTTAAAGAGATCGGTAAGTTTGGTTTTGGATTTGAAATGGCAATGGGCCATTTAAATGGAAACATGTAATAGGAAGTCAAATTCATAAAAAAGGGTGTGCGCTAGAAGTCATTAGCATATCAGTGAGAGTCAAAGCCGGGGAAGGTAAGAGAAACTAGGATAAGCACATAAAACCAAGAGATGATCAAGAAAAGGATCCTGGGGATAAAACATATAGACAATCGGCAGAAGAAAATGAAACAGAGAAAGAATGGATTAGAACTGGTCAGAGTAATAAAAAGAGAAGAGAAGAGGTTGCCAATGAAAACCATGAATTCAAAATATTTCAAGACTGGTCAATAATCAATTACTACAGTGAAGGCAAGCATAGCAGGAGTTAAACTGGCCAAATGGATTTAAAAATAGCAAGAAACTGCCAACCTCTTGAAGAAAGAAGTTTATGTAGCATGGTGGGAAAGAAAGCCAGAATAACTGGACTAAAGTACAGACAGTATGTGTAGAATGCTTCTGATGGTGTAGAAAGAGAAAAATAATGGGCTAGTCTAGAAGGCAGGAAGAATTAAAAATGATGTTTTTAAGATAAGGCCATTTGAGCATTTTTTTTTTTTTTTTTTGAGACAGAGTCTCAATCTGTTGCCCAGGCTGGAGTGCAATGGCGCAATCTCGGCTCACTGCAACCTCCACCTCCCGGTTCAAGTAATTCTCTTGCCTCAGCCTCCCAAGTAGCTGGGACTACAGATGTGCACCACCACACCCGGCTTATTTTTGTATTTTTAGTAGAGACAGGGTTTCGTCATGTTGGCCAGGCTGATCTTGAACTCCTGACCTCCACTGATCTGCCCACCTTGGCTTCCCAAAGTGCTGGGATTACAGGCATGAGCCACTGCACCCAGCCCATTTGAGCCTATTTCTAAGATGAGAGGACACAATCAATAGAGGGAAAGATGTCCATCAGACTAGTAGATGTAATACAAATTTTCAGGGACTGAGATTGAAAGTACAGGTCAAATAGCCTTTAAAAAGTCAGTCTCATGCCTCTTTGTTAAGAGATGGACAGATTAAAAATGGACATATCTATGGATATTAGGAGGGAAATCAGAGGGAAATAGATGAAGTTCATGTCTGACTAAATTTCATCTAAACTGAAGATAGTCATCTAATGAAATGGGAAGACTGTGATTTACTGTAGAGAATGTTCATGGTAAGTTTGGATCTGCTGCCAGAGGAATGAGAAAAGGAAGCTGAGTAAAGTAAAAGGATTCCTCAGCAGAGATGACAGCTTAGGTGATGTTAAAATCCAAAGTCACCCCTCAGCAAAGTTAAATATTTTTCTCTAGTATGGCCTGGCATTAGACAGAATGGCTGTGCTAAAAGAACAGATCAGATAGGTTCTTGAGGATATTGTCAAAAGGGAGTAATAGAATGTTCCCAGCATGACCAAGAAGGAAGTCAATTGTTACTCATTCTCGTCTTTTTCATTTAAATAAAAACTAACCAATAATGATAACATCTTGATTAGACATTTTATACAGAAAAGGAGGTTGGCAAGATCAGTAGAAGTGGTCGAAACACTGAAAGCAAAACGAACTGTTAAGAGAGAAGGCAGAAGTAAATGACAATGAATTCAGCATGGATCTCAAGAGCTTACATGTCAGTTACAAGGTAGAGCAAGCAACTAAAAAAAGGATAAATGAAACATTAAAAGTTCGCTTTTAAAATGTTTTTGTGATATTTATCAAATTGAAAAGGGATAAATTATTTTTAAGATTGACATTCTGAAAAATGCAAATGTTTAACCAATCTATAAAAATCTTAAAATGTAAGGTGCATATTTATTTCCTCTACTGTGATGTACTGAGCACCACTGGATTCTAGCCTCTGCATATCCAGCCAACAGTGAAGACAGTATCCCTGCCACCAAGAGCTTATGCTCTAGGAAAAATCTCAGGTGTTTAATAACCCCTAACCTCATCTTGAAGCATTAATTAGTTTACATAATGATCATTTAAAGATGGTGTGGACTAGAAATATTATATACTACATAAATAAAAGACATTTAAGAAAAATGTCTTTAAAAAGTGTTACTGTAATTTACGGAATCAGTCTGCATGATGCATATTTATGACAGTCCCTTCATAGGTAAAATATGACTGGAGAATAACAGTAGTTACATCACTTTATATTCTCTTTGCTTTTCTTGATGGCAAATAGTATGCACATAAGTACTTCTCAAGGATACTAACCTGGCAGTGCCATCAGATGATGAAGTAAGGATGTAGCGATCATCTTTTGACCAGGAAAGATCATAAATGATATTGAGGTGGCCACACAATTCTCTCATGAAACGTCCAGAAGGAATTTCATATACTAATGAAAATATTTAGAAATTAGTAGGTTTCCAGACAGAAATCCTTAATCCAATAATATACAAATACATAATTTAATATTATTTAGACATAAGCAGTCTATAACAAAATTATAACCAAAGATACGTGCAGCATAACGAAAATTTCAAAATTTACTTAAGAACAGTTTTTCATTTGCTTTACGTAAAAATTCACATGCAAAATTATGAGTTATAATTTTGCTACAATTGTCAATTTTTTCATCTCTTTAAAGAAATCCCCTAAGAATCTTTAATAATAAATTTATCAGTTGAACAATAATATTTACATTGCAATTCACTTAAAATATTCCATAATTTGGGCTTTCATTATTATTTTACCTGAAAATCAACTAAATGCCAACCAAAAATTTAATTATTTGAAGTAATGAGAAATTTAAATTGTGCTATTGTCAAAAGTAAATTTTAATACTAAAATGAACAGGGATAGTAATCAGGGATAGTATGGGAATTAACAACGACTCAATCAGACACAAAAAGCACTGTGGTACTTTACTATATGTTTAAACATACAATGAAATCTAAGACAATAACACAGAAAAACAAAGTTTCCAAGTCTCTGCTTCCATCTAGTGGTAAAAATCAATTGCCCTTTAAAATACTTGGCAGTTCAGAAATAACAGCAGTCCCCGCTTACGTGCAGTTTCACTTTCTGTGATTTCAGTTACCAGCAGTCGACCATGGTCTGAAAATATTAAATGGAAAATTCCAGAAACAAATATTCCTAAGTTTTAAAATGCACATCATTCTGAGTAGTGCTATGAAATCTCGTGCCATCTAGCTCCATCTGTCCAGGATGTGAATTATCCTGTGTCCAATGTATCCATGCTACAGATATTGTCTATCAGAAACTTAGTAGCTGTCTCAGTTATCAGACCGGTTGTCACCCAGTGCTTTTGTTCAAGTAACCCTTATTTTACTTAATGGCCCCAAAGTGCAAGAGTAATAATGTTAGCAATTGGCATATGCCAAAGGGAAACCATAAAGTACTTCCTTTGAGTGAAAAGGTGAAAGTTCTTGATTTAAAAAGGAAAGAAAAAAAGTGTATGTTGAAGTTGCTAGGATCTACAGTAAAAATCTATCTGTGAAATTGTGAAGAACAAAAAAGAGGTTTGTGCTAGTTTTGCTGTCACACCTCAAATGACAAAAGTAATGGCCTTTAGTGCATGGTAAGTACTTTGTTAAGATGGAAAAGATATAAATCTGTGGGTGGAAAGCATGAGCAGACGTGTTTCTACTGATGGCAATCGGGTTCAGCACTACTTGAGGTTTCAGGCTTCCACTGAGGGTCTTGGAACATATTCCCTACGGAAAAAGAGGGACTACTGTACTTGCGGAATAGCAAAACAAGAGTCTTAAAAAAATCTCCTCCCCATAGAAGCAGCAAAAACACTGGCAAAAACTGTCAAAAATCAACATTTTCAGAACTCTGAAAATTAAGTAAAGCTTACAAAGATTTGAAGAGTATTTAAGAAAAATGGCTGAATTTGGTAAGAACATTGAGCTTTATTATGGTGTTTTAACTTGCCATGTTCTCATTCCTGTCTCAAACTTTAAAGGAGCCTTAAAAACCAATAAAAATCAGGAGATTAACAGCCACTGGGTGGGGCAGAACAGGTCTGATGCTCCCTAAAAGCCCCATCCCCAAAGACTTCTTACTATTTGGCAGTCTGGCCCTCCAGGAAAGATCCGCTCTCAGGGCCTGCCTTTATTTGACCTGGCTCACAGCATGCTCTGGGAGAACAGCCCTAACCTTAAGGTGCATGTCACAACCACCCATGGCATCATTTAATATCACAGCTGCCTGAGGCATTGATACTAAGTGAGGCTAAGAAGACGCTCACCAAAGAACTTAAAATAAAAACAAAAAAACAAAACTAAACAAAAAACTGGGAATGAGATGTCCATAGGGGACACTGATAAGCTCCAAAATATTCCTGGGTATCTAGAAGGATTCCCATGCATGTATGTGAAGGCAATATGCACAACCAAGAAAGACCTAAGAGTCTTCACCTCTTACTCGAGCTGACCTGAAGTGGCTCAGCACAAACAGAAAGTAAAGCTAAGGCAGAGCTGTGGATTGCCTATTGAAGCATTGAAGGTATACCCCAACACACACAGAGTCCCTTGGCAAAGACCAGTAGACCCATCCACTCAGGTATTTAAAAATCGCTATCTGACCACTAACTGAATCGAGCACAGACATCAATGGCAAAACATGACAGAGAGTAAAGACTACAGAATTAGTCCAAAATCACAAAGCTAACTGCACAAATAAATCCTGGGTGGGTGTGAGGGGAGAAACGGGGGGATCTGATTTCCAGAGCTGCCACACTGTATTATTAAAACATCCAGTTTTCAACACAAAATTATGAGAAATGGAAAAAACAGGAAAGAGTGGCCCACACACAGGGGAAAAAAGTAGTCTACATAGAAACTGAGGAAGCCCAGACCCTGGGCTTTCTCAACAAAGACTTTTAATCTACTGTTATAAATATATTCAAAGATCTAAAGAAAACCAGGTCTAAAGAATTAAAGTGTGAAAAGGATTTCTCACCAGAAAACAGAGTATCAATAAAGAGACAGATATGATTTAAAAAAAAAAAAAGACTACCTAGAAATTTTACAGTTGAAAAGTACAATAACTGAAATAAATAATTCACTAGAGGGGCTCAACAGCAGATCTAAACTGAAAGAATTACTAAATTTGATAATAGGTCAACTGAGATTATCCCGTCTGAAAAAAGCAGAAAAAGAATGAAGAAAAACAGAAAAGTTTCAGAGACTTGTGGGACACCGCCAAGAGTACCAACACAGGCATAAGGGGACTCCCAGAAGAAGAAAGAGAAAAGGTCCAAACAGAACATTTCAAGAAAGAACGACTGAACACTTCTCAAATTCGTGAAAAACATTGATCTGCACATACAGCAAGTTAAAGGAATTTCAAGTAGACACATCATAATCAAATAGTCAAAAACCAAAGACAAATATTCCTCTTCCTCCTCTATTTTTGATATTTAAGCAATATCTCAATCTACATAGCATTTTAAGCAGGTTTATTTAAGCATAAAACATAAAATCAGAATAAAATAATTCTTTCACTATGCAAAAGAAATAAATTACTATTAATAACTTAGGAGCATTTCCTAAGAACCTTTTTACCCTCTACATATGGGCTTTTGATGAATTTTAAAAATAGCATAGTGGTAATCAAATGACACAAGTGATTTTTTATTTTTAAAATTTATTACTATTTCGTGGGGAGCAATATCTACTTAATAAATGCCCACCAAGTCAATTATGAGTCCCTGATGAAAAAAAGGGAATCAACCAAGTAATAGCACACTGTGCTAAGCTGAGAAAAGTTCAGTAAGACCTAGTGTTTAGGGCAGATGCCCACAAGGAGCTGGCTACTTCTGCCGAGGAGAGCTGGTTTTACTACTGAGGCAGAAGTAAACAAGAGTATTTAACGCTTCTAAGTCTATATGTTAATGCTCACTTTAAAAAGTCTCTAAAGCTACAGAAATAATTGCTTGGCCTCTCTGCTGACTTCTCCCTACCATAATGAGAAGTTTTCATCTAGGTACTCTTGAGTCAATTATTTGTATCCTAAACAGCAAATTTGGGGGCTTTTGTAACTCACATCATCACTGCTATCAACTAACCACACTGGACTCATGTTCCCCATGAGATGTATTAATCCTTGTTTCCAAATTTCTATACTTAAAATGCAAAATGTTTACAAAAATCCTCCTGCATGTTTTAAAAATAAATTTACCATCTTTCATTTGATCATTCTCATTCTACTTCTGAACAGTTATTGTATAGAAAAGCATAAAATTATTATAAAAGAACTTTCTTTACTTGAAGAAATCTGTTCTCTTTAATTGAGTAGTACAGGGGATTACTCAAGTTAAGATTTCCACAAATTTAAAAAACTAAAGAACGTCCTCCATGCAGACTACAATCAGATTAAACAGGTAGGATTATTACTCACAAATAATTGGATATCCATCCCGGCTGGCACAAGCTGCTGCTAATATCCTTCCATTGTGGGAGAAATCAAGACAAAAACATCCTCGCTCTCCTGCATTTAGTGAGAAGAGGTGTTTGTTTGGGATACGGCAAGCCTAAAAAAACATACATTTTAAAAGTAATAAATTAGAAAACATTAAAATGCAAAGGCTAGTTTTTAATTTCAATTACTGTAGTTTTTTTTAAGTCCTTTTATGACACAGAGAAAGGGAAAAACAAGTATACAGAACGCTGAAAAACCATAGTAAATTACTTTGCAAAAAGAGAATGAGTGCCTATGAAATTTTTAAAGTGGATTTGTTCTTCATGTTTAACTAGTACTTAATTCACCTAAATATGAATAGAAAAATTTCAGTATCTGATACTCTAAAGCCGTCGCTGCCACATTGCTTCTATATAGCTACTAAAAGAATGTATGTCACAGCCTTATTCTTATTAGTGACAGCACTAATAAGTCACTTTTGTTAAAGTCACAAGCTTTTTTCAAGACCACAAGTACCTATGGGGCCTAGCTTAAGCCAGAATGTATGAATGCCCATTCTCTCTTTGCGTATCTTAAAATAATCACCCTTTGTGGCTGCCTTCCAAAATGTATTTTCAAAGTAATCAATCGGCCCTTATTGGTCTCTCATTCATTAGTACAATTTCTTCAAAATTTTAATGTTTTCACTCTCTTCTACCAGATGAAGCCCAAATTTTCTGGCTATTAATATATACTGTAGAAAATATCAGTTACGTTTATTTATCCTAATTCTATCTCTTCCAACCTTCAGTGAGCCTTAGTTCTTCTGTTTCTTATAATTCAAAAAGTTGAATTAAACATACACTGGGCTCTTACTATATGCCATGAAAGTTGTACTTTATTACAAATGTCTTTCAATATATTCATCACAGCCATCCTATGAGTAGCTATTACTAGCTAAGAGTAACCATTATTAGCTCTACATGGCTAAGAAGGATTATTCAAAGGGTCAAGCCTAGCTTAATGGACTACTCAAAGACTGTTACTTCAAGGGCATGCTTTCTAGACAGGTACCAGGTTTTTCACAAATAGTACCAAGATCTGCCAGTACCTCGGGAGACAGCATTACAACCAGCTACTAGGAATGTGAAAAATTCAAAAGAATTTGTTAAGTGTCAATCATGTACCAGACTCCATGCTACCCATTTTCTCTCTGCATCCTCCATCCGCATAATTAAGAAAAGGGAAAGGAGGGTAACAAGGAACAAAAACTGAAAGAAATGTCATGAGGCTTTATAACCACTTGCTGCTGCTCCTAGAGTAGGAAATGTAGTTAAGGAAAACTCCGTGCCCAGTCACCTAGGCTGAAAATGAAAACACTGAAGCCACTGTCATGTTCTTTGTATTCTCAGGGTTTGACGCTGTGCTCTATCCAGAACAGACACTCCAATAAAGGTCCTCAAAAGCCTTGACTCTTTCCCCTTGTTTACTACCTTGTCAGTCACTAAATCATGCTCATTCTTACTTTCTGTCTCTTGTATTCATTAGACCCTCATCAACTCACACATCAATGACTGCCATCTAATTCTGATGTTACTACTTCAAGATCTCCCCATGCCACTGCCCACATTAATTCATCCTCAAACACAACTGTTATTTTTCTCACTCACCTGAAAACCTTCCATTATTCCTCACATCCCTCACAATCAAGTATTAGGCTACCATTTGAGACACTCCACAATGTGGGCCTAATCCAGTACACTACTTTATCTCCTCTTTTACAAACTCCGGTTTCCAACCAGCCAAGCTTTTGAGTGCCTAATGCATACAACAGGTCCTTTCCCACTTATTTGCAACTTTGCCTTCCTATGAAATACCCTTCCTTATCCCTCCTTCACTCACCCCTACCTTGGGCATCCTAGCCAATCTCAAGCTCCACTGCTGAATGAGCCCTTTTCCCACCACTGTAGTTCAGTCTTCATATCTGCAATTCTCAAATGTTTTTAGTTTCGAGATGCTTTACATTCTTGAACATTTTTTTCAGAGGCTATTTGGAGTTTTCATAAAAATAAAATTTAAAAAATGCTAACTTTAAATGTCTAGCTTAATAAAATCTAGATTTTCATAACTACTTCCGCTCTCTTGTGATATCACATGTTATTTAGCCTCTAGAAAATGCTAGTGCATACTTGTAAGAGAATGAATCTGAAAGAGACTAGTAACACCTTAGAATCATTATGAAAAGAAGTTGACTTCAAGAACCCCCTGAAAGGGACTCAGAACTCCCAGAGGTCTCCAAACTACATTTTGAGAACTGCTGATCTGTACAATCATCTTTATACCTACATTTCCTCATTTCCTCAAGACTTCTCTAAAGCTTATCTGAAAATAAACAACACTGTAACTGCTTTCTTTTCCCACCTAACCTGGAAGTTCACCAAGGGCAAAATCTAAGTGTTAATCTCTCCCTATTATTATGCTTGAAGTATTCTTTTTTTTTTTTTTTTGAGACTGAGTCTCGCTCTGTCGCCCGGGCTAGAGTGCAGTGGCCGGATCTCAGCTCACTGCAAACTCCGCCTCCCAGGTTTAGCCATTCTCCTGCCTCAGCCTCCCGAGTAGCTGGGACTACAGGCGCCCGCCACCTCACCTGGCTAGTTTTTTGTATTTTTTAGTAGAGACGGGGTTTCACCGTGTTGGCCAGGATGGTCTCAATCTCCTGACCTCGTGATCCGCCCGTCTTGGCCTCCCAAAGTGCTGGGATTACAGGCTTGAGCCACCGCGCCCGGCCTATGCTTGAAGTATTCTAACTCAAAGTGATTTTAAAATGTATCTGTAAAATCGGCCTCAAAAAGAAAGTCAAATGTGATGTAAAATACAGAAAATGAAGATGACTAAATAACAATAGTCAGTTCTTATTTCTACATTAGATGTTTGAATAAATTAAGATCTTGAATACATTTCATCTGGTAGTAGCTCATATGCATAAAATAAACCACTCCATTCTTTGTAAAAACTAGTAAAAAAATTGCAAAATTGTATCAGCAAGGCTTCCCGCCACTGCAAAAAATGTTAATCTAGTAAGAACACTTTAGTAAAAGCTTAAATGTTGCTCAGCTTGTGGTAGAAGTACATACACATACATATCTCTATCAAAGTGTGATTCAGGAAGAAGCCAGGTGCTGTAAAGAATTTCATGAATCCATAAACATTAAGAGATGTATGTCTTACAGACATCAAAAATCTGTTTTAAAAAAATTTTTTTTTTTTTTTTAAGAGATGGGGTCTCATTCTGTCATCCAGGCTTGAGTGCAGTGGCACAGTCATAGCTCACTGCAGTCTTGAATTCCTGGGCTCAATCTTCCTTCCTCAGTCTCCCGAGTAGCTGGGACTACAGGTGCATGCCAGCATGCCCACCTAATTAAAAAACCTTTTTTAAGAGAATGGGTCTTGCTATATTGCCCAAGCTAAAAATCTATGTTATCTGACTGCTGTTACAGGCTGAATTGTGTCCTCTCTCCTCCCACTCACACCCCTACCCCTTGTCACCCAAATGAGTATGTTAAAGCTCTAACCCCTAGCACCTCAGAATGTAACAGTATTTGGAGATGTGGTCTTTAAAGAGGTGATTACATTAAAATGAAATAATTATGGAAGGGTCCTAATCCAACCGGGGGCGTGCATGCACAAAGGGGCGTGCATGCACAAAGATTGTGTGAGGAGGCAGCAAGAGGGCAGCCAACTGTAAGACAAGGAGAAGCCTCAGAAGAAATCAACCAAGTCAGCACCTTGATCTTTGCTATGGACCAAATGCTATGTCCTCTCAAAAACCATATGTTAAAGCTGTAATCCCCTATGTGATAGTATTTAGATGTGGGGGTCTCTAGGAGGTAATTTGGTCCTGAGAGTGAGACGCTTAATTTGGTCCTGAGAGTGAGACGCTTATGAATCAGATCTGTGCCCTTATAAAAAAAAGACACAAGAAAGGTGATCTCTCTCTCCACCATATGAGAATACAGCAAGGAGGAGGCTGGCTCCAAGTCAAAAAGGGGACCCTCACCAGGAACTAGGCTGGCTAGCATCTTGATTTTGAACTTCCCAGCCTTCAGAACTGTGAGAAATAAATGTCTGCTGTTTAAGCCACCCAGTGTGTGGTATTTTGTTATAGCAGCCCAAGCTAATACAATTTACAATTGCCCAAGTGCCCGAACAAAGAATGTAAGATAGTGCTTATATACACATGCTAGGCACTCTTACTATTCGTCAAATTAATTAATGGAAAGGCAAAACCATAAATAGCCAGGATTTTAAGTAGTAAGCTAGATATCCTAGGAGTTACTGGAGTTTTGAAGGTAATAAGTGAACATCTAAAGCAATCCACTGTTAATCAAACACTTCACCTGCCCAGGGAGTCGTTTCCACTTTATTACTTCCTTTGACTCTTCTAATCCAGGTTCTGCGTCTATTGAGCTTGACTCATGGTGATGTTCACAATGCACTGGTTTACCTTTTTCCTCCTGAAGAGCCATCATAGAGCGGTAAGATGGCTTTATCTAAATATGCATTAAAATATGAAAATTTATATATCATGTTCACCTTTTTCTTTTTCTAGCATATAGTTTTAAAAATACTGAAACAAATAATATGAAAATATTTTCAAAATGTAATCCAGAAAAAATTCTACTTTTATTTGTACATTATTCTAAATAAAATTAAAAAGCTGCTTAAAACTACAGTCCTATAACCAAAAAGTCTCAAAAGTTTTTGAGGAAAAAAATGACTACAAATTTACATGTAATGATTTTAATAACTCTGCCCTTTGTTTCTGCTTCTTCACCAATACTTATGAGTTATGCCATGGCTCTGATATAATACCGTATCTTTAAAATCACAAAACTAGTATCATAAAAATCTCAAGTTTTAAAAATAATTTCTCAATAATAGATTTAACTCCATCCAAACCAATGCAAATCAGTCCTGTGGTGACAGTATATATCAGCTACAGAATGTGCAAATGACCTGAAAAATTAATGTCTTATAAGAAATAAGACAAAAGCAAAACTTTTTTACTTTAGGGTCAATTCTTTGCTAAGATTATTTATAATATTAAACTATGGAAAACAGCAGCAATAGAAACATTACATACTGATTATTTGAATAATATTGTGAAAAATGTACCCAGAAATCAGGACTCTGCAAACTGCAGCCCACACACCAAATTTGGCCTGCTACCTGCTTTTGTAAATAAACTTTTATTGGAACACATCACACCCATTTGTTTAGTTATGGCCTACATATGTCTATGTAGCTACTTTCACACTATAAAGGCAAAATTGACCGAAACTACAGGGCGAAAGCCTAAAATACTATCTCGCCCTTTACAGAAAATATTTTTCAACTTCTCCTTTAAGTCCACCTTTTATCCTTAATTTCTGAAAATCAAATTGTAACAAAACATTTTTCCTAATACTAAAAGCTGTATTTCACATTTAAAATTCATTTAAGCATCTTTTAAATATCAGCTATTACAGTCTTAATATATAACCCCGGATATCTATTAAAATTATTATTAGAAGTCTTATCTTTTTAGAAATGAAAAACATGTTATGTCACCATTTAATTTCAACACTAGAAGATATACACTTATATGTACTATATTAACTTACACAGTCTGGAACTTTCAGTCCTCTTACAGTTACATACAGTGTTGATGGGTAACGATTTCTTGGACATTTTGACCACCATTCAAACACCTCAACAACATTTAATTGGGATCGAGGCTTAGCAGGTGGGTAATACAGCTGCAAACGAAGTTTTGAGTTGATGTTTGCATTTCCATTGGCTCCCAGAAGCTTAAAACAAGAATTCATATAAAATGTGACCGTCACCGAAAATAAATATATCCAACAAAGCAATAGCATAAACTCAGAAACATTTTTAAAAGATTAATATGGCATGCTGAAATTTCTTAGTTTTACAAAGCAAAGAACACTACATACTTAGTTAAGCACAGTTCCAGATCATTTTTGACAAAAGGTAACCCAAATGGCTTTTAAAATATTTTCCTGATAGCTCTCTTTTCACATATACAATAATTTCAGACTGTTGGTACAGCATTTACACTACTGTGCCAGATTTCACACTGAACAAAGGATGTGATTGATATACAGTCGTCTGAAATAATAAGGTTAAACTGTATATTTACACAAGACACAAATTTTCCATTTGTTTAATATCAGTATTTTTAATGGTTAAAATTTTATGATGTTTTAAATTTTTAAAAAGTTAAAATCATTTCAAGATAATTAAACTCATTTAAGCCATTCGTTACTTTTTTCAGTATTTTAGTGTACCTTCTTTCAAAGGTCTATCTTTAAAACCCTATTAAACAAAACTTATGTTTAAACTAACTAACTGAAGATTTTTGTCTTTTTTTTTTTTTCTTGGCAGAATCTCATTCTGTTATCCAGGCTGGAGTGCAGCGGCAAAATCTCGGCTCACTGCAACCTCCCCCTCCTGGGTTCAAGTGATTCTTGTGCCTCAGCCTCCTGAGTAGCTGGGATTACAGGTGCACGCTACCACACCTGGCTGATTTTTGTGTTTTTAGCAGTCAGAGGTTTTGCCATGTTGGCCAGGCTGGTCACGAACTCCTGGCCTCAAGTGATCTGCCCACCTCGGCCTCCCAAAGTTTTGGGATTACAGGCGTGAGCCACCATGCCTGGCCTTAAATGGAGATTTTTATAAGAAAAATAAAAATCTTACCAAGTCAGAATACATTCTCTTTCATTAGACCATGACTCAAAATAGGAAATGAAATGTCTAACTTTTATGTCCTCTCCAAATTAGGAGCAGAAAGATAGTTTGAACCCTTTGCAACAGTTCACACAAAACATGGAAGTATCTTAAATTAGAAGAATAGGCACTGAGTGCAGGGAACGTATTTAACAACTGTTACCTGTAGACTCATGTAACTTGGAAAGTAAAAAAAACACAGAGTCAAGAAAGACTCTAAGACAGCATTGTCCAAGAGAGCTTTCTATAATGATGGGAATACTCTAACCAATTCGGAATCCACATGTGGCTACCCTGCACTTGAAGTATAGCTAGCACAAATGTAAAACTAAATTTTTAATTATATTTAAATTTGAATTCAAACTGCCACATGACTTGTAGCTACCAAAACAGTGTAACTCCAAGTTCACGAACCTGGGAGAGTGGACAGATGGTGGTACCACCAATTGAAGTAGCAGAGAGAGCAGCAAGGATACTCAGTTTGGGAGAATCTGAGATATCTGTAAGTCATCCAAGTTGAAATGTCCAGTAGGGGACTGAATTTACAAATCTGAAGCACAGGTGAGAAAAGTGGTTCCAAAAAAACTGGGTTAAAGATGAAACCATGAGTAGGACTGATACTAAGGAGGTAGGCAGAAGACCATGAAGGAAACTGAAAGAATGGTATAAGTAAAATTAGGAGAGGATGGTGTCAAGAAAACCAAGGTAACAGAGTTTCAAGAGTGTGATATGCTAAATGCGTAGATGTGACAAAATAACTTAAAAATGTTCAATAAATTTGGCAAATAGAAATCATTAGTGATTTGGTTGGAGAAGCTTTAGTAGCAGAGGCAAAATTTAGAATGTTGTTCAGGAATGATGAGTTCAGGAATGATGCATCAACAAGAGAGATGGCAAAATACAGCCCATCTTTTCCCCTACCCCTTTAGGAAAGAATGTAAAGACAATGGAGGTTATAAGCTGAGCAGGTGACATTGTGATTAGTGTCAAATGACACACAGGGGTAAAGAACAGTTCCAAACTGAGTAATAGATACGTTCAGTCATTAAATCATAAGCACTCGAGACTCCCTTCATTAACTCTCCTACAGCTCCCCAAAGCTCATCTCGGTGATTTTAAAGATATTCCCCAGCTTCTAAACCATACTTTCCGTAGACTGTTTTAATTTAACCAGGCAATTTAGTTTACATTAATATGCTGCTTAGCATGAGTAAACTACTAAGATTCAGCCAAGACCCTGCTATTATGGTTATAAATTATATAATGTAGAGCTTAAATAAATAAGGCTTTGCCACTTTTTAGTTTAAAAGAATAGCCACATATATGTACTAAAAGAACTGAAAGTACCTGAGAATCTGAGGCATAGCTGAGAATTAGAATAAAGTCTCATTTGAACTATTGTAATAACTTAACAATTATCCAAGACATCCCTGGAACCAATAGGATAGGCAATAAAAGATTTAAATTTTAATTGTCTTCATGCCATTTTCTTTTTTTTTTTTTTTTTGAGATGGAATCTCACTCTGTCACCCAGGCTGGAGTGCAGCGGTACAATCATGGGTCACTACAACTTCCATTCCCTGTGTTCAAGCAATCCTCCCCCCTCAGCCTCCCGAGTAGCTGGGATTACAGGCGCACACCACAACACCTGGCTAATTTTTGTATTTTTAGTAGAGACAGGGTTTCACCATATTGGTCAGGCTGGTCTCAAACTCCTGACCTCAAGTGATTGGCTCACCTCAGCCTCCCAGTATGCTGGGATTACAGGTGTGAGCTACTGCATCCGTCATGCCACTCTCTTGAAGATGAATTTTATCCTTGCCACTCTTTCCATCATCGTTGATTAATTCCCTCAATATATAGTCACCAAGCACTTTCTATGTGCCATTAATATGCTGGGAGCTGGTGATATTATAGCATGGAGTTTCAAGAGAGTGATATATTAAATGCAAAAAGATGTCGTAAAATAAGGACTAAAAATGCTCAACATATTTACCCAAAAGAAGTCATTGGTGACTCTAAAAAGTTTACAGTCTAATGAAAAAGACAGAAGTATTAGAAGACATGAAGCACATAGAATACCTTACCCTTTCTGCGGGGTGGGGATGGGATAAGGAGAATTCTTGACTGCCATTTTTGCCAATGGCATAAGATGAATAAATAAATAAAAATCCATACAGTATTTAGAGGTAAAAATGCTGTGAAATATGTTATTGCTTCCCAAGTGCAACTTACAGTAAATACTGCAGGTTTGCACGAATCTTAGCATAAAAGAAATGCAGTTTCTAATCAAACCACAAGATGGCAATGTTTACTACGTGAAAGTGAACTTTTTTGCTTTTTTTTTTAATGGTTTTTTTCTTTGCTCTAAATCAGTATCAAAGCTGGTATGGAAAAAGGCATAACAGATTTATATAAGGGTGATCACAGATAGTACGCTGGACCAGGTGATTCCTAAGGCCACTCTCAATTACTTACTCACCACAGCCAACCTGGCGGCTATTCAGTCCTTTGACTATAATACTTCTAAAATCTCTCTCTAACCCCCAATATGGCTTAAATGTTTCAACCGGATTTTCACAGCATCTGCTCTGTAGCACATAATAATGTAGGTAACAGGTCTGTATAGAAATTAAATTGGGGGGCAGGTATATACAATGTCTAATTTATCTATGAATGTACTGTATTTAGCAGACTGTCTCACATTTTATAGATCACATTTGTTGAACGAATGGATGCACAAATGAAAATGTTTTTATAAGATGGTACAAAATAGACTACTCAAGACTTTTCATAATTTAAATTGATGTCTGAAGGAATAACAGATAATATAAAATTAAAATACCCTTTTTTAAAAACATCAATCTATGTCTTTCATCTTTGCTGAAACATCCTCGTCAAAGACATCCTAGTCAGAGACACCCAGTCAAAGACAAATGTACAAAGACATTTTTTACCTAGACTACAGTAAGAATTTCCTAATTTGATTATCAAGTATCCACATTTGCTCCCTCTAGAATCTGTTCTCTACATTTGAAGACTATTTTAGAAGTGTTTAAAATGGTGAAAAACATACCTTAAGAAATGCCCAGGCAATTTTCCGAAAGCCACATTCTTGGTTTTGAACCTCAGAATTATTCTTAATTTCATCCATGCTTAAGAAATCAAGAATCTGCAAATAAATTCACAGAAGACTAGGCTACTTAAAATTTAGTATTTTCTAACGGTATATCATTAAAAATTTAAAAAATCATTTGTATAGTACTTAAAAACATTGACCTTTACAGGGAGTAAAAACATTTTTATCTCATTTCATTCATCTTAAAGTTAACTCATTCAATTAGGGAGGGTCCATTTTCTGACTACTTTATCTTTCATTCATAAATACTAAGATTTATTTCAAATCCAAGGCAAAGTGTTAATCACCTCAAATATAACCTAGGTACAAATACACTAGGCATAGAATTCTTAAGCTTTCATTGTTTTTTATGTATCAGAGCAGACTTCAAAGGATTGTTTAAAAAACTCACGACTCTATTTCTGGGTCTTTGTCTTGGATCACCTTCCTGAAGTTGAGGTTTTTCTCTTTGGATATATGTTATAATTAGGCTTCTCAAGAGGATTTCTTCCATTCCTCTATCCTGTCTGGACATTAAAGCTCATGGATTTGCAACCAACCTGCCACAGAGATTGTATTCTAGGTACTTATAAGAGGCTATCACTTCAAACTTACTGGTGCTTATTAAAAGCTCAGCTGCGAAAATGAGACCTTTATAGAAAAAATACTGCTTGAGAAACGATACAGACTCCATTCATCTGTTTTTTGGATACCTAAATCTTTTTTACAGATATAATACATGCTCAGTGAAAACATAATATAAAAAATATATATGTGCAAAGTAAAAACAACTTGTAATCCAGACCCATAGATGGCCACCACGTTAATGGTGGCTAAATCTTTTTCTGTGCATTCCTAAACATACGTATGGAACTACAAATCTAATAATGCTATTTCACGAATTATTTTCATATAACATGTAGTGAATATCTCTTCATGTCAATACATACACATGAATACCATCATGTTAATGACTGCCTACTATTCTTCCATCACAAATACCATAAATTTAACAAAAATTATAACTTATTTAACCATATCTCTTACTGATCTAAATTTAGGTTATTTTATCTCCCTAAAATTTTTGCCATTATAAACAGTGTTGAAATAAATATCTTGCACACACATCTTCGTGGACTTGTCATTTTTTTCTTAAGATAAATACTTAGGAGTAAAATAATGGTTTTAAAGACTTGTGACAGACATTATCAAGTTGTCCTCAACAAACACTTAAAAAACTGAGATCAAAAAGTAGTTGCATAGGCAATAACATATTATACAAAAACTTAAGAAGCAACCAAAAGTGTTTATAATACAACAATCTATCTGAAAATTATAACAAATGACAAATTTTGAAGACAAAGAAAAAATTCCTTAAGATAAAAATTATACCCATTTTTCAACAATAACAGCTTTATGTAAATCACACGCAACATAATCACAAATGTAAATATTGGAATATTTGTGTCATAAATACAGACAACCTGAAAGTGAAGGATCATAAAAACAAGTAATTCTAAAAAATGAATCTTCAGCACTGGTTATGCCAAGTTACTTGCTGTTCCCATGCTAAACTTCTCCATCTAGCTTACACTGGAAGGGGGGCTTTCTCTACTTTCCTTTGTTTATGGAGACAGAACACATGATAGAGAAAAGAAATGTGGTATTCTAGGTTCAAACTATCTCCAAACACATTTTTTTACACTTAAAATTTGAGTAACTTTGGAGAAATCACTTTTACTCCAAACCTTCTCATTTTTAAGGAAATTATATAATAACTAGTCACCTCAAAAGCCATCTATTCCATAAAGCTTTCACTGACTTCTCTGACCCACCACTAACCCTTTACATATCAGAAGTTCTAAAACATTTTTGGTTATATATGAAATTGCATTAATTAACTGATTTATTTATCCAGGTGGTACACATATTCTTAGGGTGTCTGATACAGTTAAATGAGTTTATGCTTTGTGAAATGGGTTAAAAATGGAGAAGTACATTCATATAGAGTGGATTCATCACTTCAGCACAGTTAACAGTCACAGGGTTGTTGTAATTATTAAATGATACAAAGTAGGCCAAATAGTACTCAGGAAATATGCTATCACTGTTTATAAAAGGGTGTCTCACTTGTATTTCACAGCATTCTACAAACACTAAATCCTAGAGATTACATTCTCACACTACTTTTTTTTTGCATTATTGGACTACTAAAAATAATAGCTTACATCTGTGCTATTAAATACTAACCATCATTTAATTTGAATTGCTCCATTCAATTCATACCTCAAAGAACAGGATGACTTTAGGACTCTCATCAGAGTCTCGAAGCAAATAGGCAAAATTTTCATTAAATATAATTTGTTCTTCCCACTCTGGAAGTCTTGATTTTAACTGTTTAAAATCAAATGGCTGGGTCATAATAGGAAGAATATAATCCACATTCTCCTTTTCATAGTAAGATGAAACAGGCCGTTCACTGTACAAAAAAAAGATACTTCCATTAATGCAATTTTTATAATTTTGAGGTGAGAAAAAAATATATAGTGTATAAGGTGAGGCAACCAGAAACAATGAATTGCCACAATAATACAAAAGGAAAGATTATTTTGATTGTCTATCTAGAAACTTACAAATTTTGTAAGACTTAACAGTCCATCTTACATTTGTGTACTATCAATCAGTTTCACGTGATTATTTTATTATAGAAATATAAAGTGAGAAGTATGATTATACCTTTGCCATACAACGCTGGGATAAACTCCTTCAGAATTTTATAAGAGTTTATAATAAAATAGACATTGCCAGGCACAGTGGCTCACGCCTGTAACCCCAGCACTTTGAGAGGTTGAGGCAGGTGGACTGCTTGAGCTAAGGAGTTCGGGACCAGCCTGGGTAACATGGTGAAACCTCGTTTCTACAAAAAATAGAAAAGAAGTTAGCTGGGCATGGTGGCACATGTCTGCAGTCCCAGCTACTTGGGAATCTGAGGTGGGAGGATCACCTGAGCCCAGGGAGGTTGAGGCTGTAGTAAGTTGTGATTGTGCCACTGCACTCCAGCCGGTGAGAGAGAGAGTGAGATCTTGTCTTAAAAAAAAAAAAAAAAAAGACATAAAATTGATTTTACATTAAAAAAAGGCACAAGACTATAAACCCCTTGAGCTGTCATATTTTCTTTGCATGCCCTAAGGCAAATGAATAAGTGAATGGGGTTTTTTTTTGGACAATCTTCCTGTTTCCATTCCCCACTGGCTTTCCAAACAATTTTTTTTTTTTAAATTCTAGTATAAACATGTATTTCATTGTACTTTTCATTTGGGATTTCATAGCTAAGCATGCATTAGCTATAGAAGTAATCTTAGAAAAAACATTAAAGATTCATCTACCTTACTTGAGGCCCAGATAACATTACTTTCAAAAGAAAAATATAAGGTTGGACAATTAAAGCATTTACAAATGCAATATAAAATATTTACAATGCAATTTTATGTCATAAATTATGTCTAGTAAGCTGGTAGAAGCTCTCTACCACTTAAAATGAATTATTCCCTTCCACTTAAAAGTAATCACTGAGCCAGGCATGGTGGCTCATGCCTGTAATCCCAGCACTTTGGGAGGCTGAGGCAGGCAGATTGCCTGAGGTCAGGAGTTCGAGATCAGCCTGGCCAAACCCCGCCTCCACTAAAAATACAAAAATTAGCCAGGTGTGGTGGCGGGCACCTGTAATCCCAGCTACTCAGGAGGCTGAAGCAAGAGAATTGCTTGAACCTGGGAGGCTGAGGTTGCAGTGAGCCAAGATTGCACCACTGCATTCCAGTCTAGGTAACAAAGCAAGACTCCATCCCCTCCCTCCCCCAAAAAAGAAGTAATTACTGAATTCTATGTTCTCCATTTCTTCTACAACATTCTGATCAATGTTAATGATTGATGAACACCTACAACTAGTAGACTATTCTCTAATACAAATCCTAATTCTATTCCCACTGACTTTCAACTACCAATGGCAGAAAAAAGACTTCTACTGCAGACAGTTTCAGTTTCAAGAATTAGCTGTGGAATTAAAAAAAATTACCTATCATCTTTCTTGACATGTTGACCAGTATGCTCATCAACCACATGAATTTTTACCATTGGGTGAGAAATCATAAAATCTGACTTAAGTCTATCAGTTCGGTGAATATAAACTCCCAGGACAAGGTCATCATCAAGCAAACATTTGGGATAGACTGGGCTATCTCGGCTTGTTATTTCATGAACACCATCACCATCAACATCTTCGTTATCAACTGTAACTACATGCATGGAAAAAAGAAATCAATGTTAAATTGTTCCCACAGTTGTATTTACATATAACCTAATCTTTAAGATCTATGATGATTTCACTTTGTTAACAAAGGAACTTCAAGGGGAAAGAAAGAAAAAGCCAGATAACAGCAAACCATAGTCTGACAGTAAAATACTACATTTGCTAATGCATTAAAAATAAGGTGAGAAATCCTTGTTTATATTTTTCCTAATAAGTAGGAGAAATACAAAAAGAAAAAAAAAAGAGAGTCAAAGTCAGAAAAGTAACTATATCTAGGTATTTTCTAAGTGGAATATACATGACTCAACTAGAATTTCTACCTCTGGGTAGGATGCAGTAGGATGCAGCAGGTAAACACTTTGGGTAACAACTGGAAAGAGCCAAATAAATTACGAATATCTTATTTTAAATTTTAAAGGCATCAGAAAGTACAGAAACAAGGTATACTAGACAGATCAAAATTCCAGAAAGGGAGAATCAGTCAGAGGTCAGCTGATGGACTGGCAGCTGTTTCTGTCTGTGGGGACATTTGCTGATTCAGGGTGTGAGCTGAAGATCAGAGTTTGGCTTAAGCAGAAGGTCACTGCCAGGACAATGAGAAATCAGCAAAACTTTCATCATTCCACAGGACTAAAACGATAAAACTGGAGATTTGAGAAGCCTCAAACATGACCAGTTTTTCTCACAAAACTGAATTCTGATGCTATAGAGAAGCTAGAGAGGTAGTGAAATCTCCAAGGCTTGTGGTGCTAGCAGACCAGGATCCGCCAGGGGAAGGGAACCAAAACAAAACAGGCAAAGATGAAGCCCTGGAGGGTGTGGTCAATTTACACTGAGGACCAAGAGCCACTTTTCACCTGGGGTCATCTACCAATTCCGGTCACAGATCTAGGTTGATAATCCAGGTGCGATTTCTGGCAGAAGGTTGCTACTGAGGGACAGAGAAGCCAGCAGAGATTTCGGCATGCATGGCAGCGAGAGTGACAAAAAGATAGAGGATACCTGAAGGATGCCTAACATATAGCCAGTCTCACGCTCAAAGAATTTGCCAAATTTTGAAGTGGCAAATGGCAAGTGGAAAAGCACTCAAGGGCTAAACTGAAACTCCCATTGTATTTTAGGGCTAAAAAATTATTTAGGGCTATGAATTATTAGAGATAAAGAAGGGCACTGCATAATGATAAAAGTGGTAACTTGATAAGAGATACAAGAAAAATAAAATCAGAGTGGAAATGTTAATACCTCTCTCAACAGCTGACGGAATAAGTAGACCAAAAAAACTAATAAGAAGAACTGAGCACAATTAAACTTGACCTAACTGACATTCAAAGGACACTGCACTCAACATTAGAAACTGCATTCTTTTCAAGTGAGCATGGAATATTTACCAAATCTGACCATAAAATGGTCATTTAAAAATGCCTCAATAAACTCAGAGGATTGAAATCATTCATAATGTTATCTGACAACAATGGAAGACAGAAACCAATAAAAGATAACTAGAAAAGCATCTGCTGCCTGAAACTAAGCAACATACTTCTAAATAATGCACAATCAATTAAAACGAAATTGGAAAATATTTTCTGTTAAATGATAATAAAAAGACACAATATTAACAATTTTGGAGATGCAGGTAAGGTAGCACTTTGATAGAAATTTAGTCTTAAATGCATATAAAAGAAGACTGAAATTTTTCTTATAAAATCCAAATTATAAAGTTAGAAATAAGTAGCAAATAAAACCCGAATAAGTACAAAGGAAAATAATATAGTTACAAGAAAAAACTACTAATACATAAATGTACAATAGAGAAAACCAAAGCCAAAGGTTTCTGAAAAGACTCATAAACTTAAAATCCTAAGACTGATCAAGAATTTGAGAGAAAACAAATTGCCAATCCCATGAATGAAAAAATGGGACAGCCTTTCAGATGCTACAGAAATGAAAATTTGAACATTTGGATCAAAAACTACAGTCTATCAAATAGCTGAGAAAAGCTTAAAAAAAAAGTGAAAAGACTGATAAGAAACTAAATCTTGATCCGTATCAAGACAAGCTAAATTATAAGGCATAAGGACTGAAAAGGAAGCAACAAAACTATCATTATTAACAGATTACATTATTGTATATGTAGAAAAATCAAAACAATATAACAATAAACTCTGTTGGCCACGATGGCTCACACCTGTAATCCCAGTAATCTGGGAGGGTGAGGCGGGCGAATTGCTTGCGCCCAGGAGTTTGAGACTAGACTGGAATATGTAGTGAGACCTTGTCTCTATAAAAAATTAGCCGGGAATGGTGGTGCATGCCTGTAGTCCCAGCTACTTGGAAGACTGAAGTGGGAGGATCGCTTGAGCCTGGGAAATGGAGGCTGCCGTAAGCTGAGATCACGTCACTGCACTGCAGCCTGAGTGACAGGCGAGACCTTGTCTCAAAAATAAATAAATAAATAAATGAACTCTTGCAATAAGTGAATTTAGCAAATCAATAGATACAACGTTAAAAAAACATAAATACATTTCTACACATATGTACCAGCAACAAATACAAAGCAAAAAAAAATTTTTTTTGGAGACAGAATCTCGCTCTGTCGCCCAGGCTGGAGTGCAGTGGCGCGATCTCAGCTCACTGCAAGCTCTGCTTCTCGAGTTCACACATTCTCCTGCCTCAGCTTCCCGAGTAGTTGGGATTACAGGTGCCTGCCATCATGCCCGGCTAATTTTTTGTATTTTTAGTAGAGACGGGGTTTCACCGTGTTAGGCAGGATGGTCTTGATCACCTGACCTCGTGATCCGCCCGCCTCAGCCTCCCAAAGTGCTGGGATTACAGGCGTGAGCCACCACGCCCGGCCAAAATAAAAAAATTTTTAAATGCCATTTACAATATCATTAAGAAACATCAACTCCTAGGAATAAATCTAAGGAGAGATTCTGCTGAAATGTATATTACTGGGATATGTTAAATAAGATGCAAATAAACGGAAGCGCATACCAAATTCATAGACTGAGAATCAATACTTTGTAAATATGTCAAGTCTCTTTAGAGAGCTGTTACACTGTGAATCTCTATAGATTCACCCAGTCTAGATCAAAATCACAGCTTGCAAGACAGGATGGGTGTAGGAAGGAAGAGGGAGAATTGAGAAGCTCTTCTAAAATCCATATAGAAATGCAAAGTAAAGAATAGCCTAGGCAATGCAGATGAAGAAGGAAAAAGCTAGAGTACAATACTAAATAGCAAGACCTATTAAAAAGCCACAGTATTTAGACATGGTGGTGTTGGTACAGACTGTCTACTGTAAAAGAATAGAGACTATAAAAACTGATCCACACGTAAACACAGTCATGTTATTTATGAGAAAAGTGACACTGCCACACAGAGGCAAAAAGACACTCTCTTCAGTGAATGGTACTGGGTCAATTATAATATATATCCACACGAGAAAACGTATCTTGATCACTGCTTCCTAACAAACAAAAACCAATTTCAGATGAACTGCATATATAAATGTGAAAAGTAAAACAGAAACAGTAAAACTTTTAAAATAAAACTTTTAGAGAAACATCTTCAGAACTTGGGAAAGATTTCTTAAATCACAGAGAACACTTACCTTCAAAGGAAAAAACGGATAAACTGGACTATTCAAAAATTTCTGCTTTTCAAAAGACACCAATGAGAGAGAAATAAACTAGAGTAGGAAGACATTTGCAATATATATGTATGTATGTATATATCTGAGAATAATCTCATATTGAAGTATATAAACTATCATTACAAATCAATTAGAAAAAGACAATACTGTTTTTAAAAAAATGCATAACTTGAATATATTTACAAGTGATACAAACTCATCAAAGACAAACAGCTATAAATACACGTGTACTTTAATCTAGATGAATCCAAGAACAAGTACCACATACTCTATATTGAATTATTTTCAAGTATACCCATCAGTTTTAGTTTTTAAGGGCTAAAATTCCTAGAATCAAGTTATTGCTACCAACGTACACAATTTTTCACTTAATTTGTATAACAAACCTGCTTTAGCCTTCTTTTTTGGTTTTTTTGGTTTAGGTTTTGTGTCATCTTGCATGCTGCCTTCTGTGTTTTGTTCCACTGAGCTTATTTCACCATCTTGATGAGAATCTGAAGAAACTGGTCTAACTGAAGATTCCTTCTTTTGTTCACCTTCAACTGTGTCACCAGAGATGGTCAATGTACTACAAATATAATCCAAGTATCAGCCATTACAGATATATTATTATAATTATTATTATTATTCATGATGCAACAGAGTGAACAGTAAATAGGAGCAAAGATAATCCTAAAATCACTACTATTTTTTCTTGAGATGCATATATTTTCCTACACACTAAAATGGTTAGCTGTCAAATAGGTATCATAGGTTGTAACTTCGCAAGGAGTTACATGATTCAACTAAAACTGAGCTCTAAACCCCAGGGGAAAGGAAATTGTATTAATATTTTATGAGTAATTGATCTCTCTTTACATAGGACTTATCGAAGCACGCCCACCCTGCTGCCAAGTAAATGACTGATCAACCAATTTTTAAATTACCTTATTTAAAAGTATAAAATGTATTCTAGGTTTGTTCAGTCTTCAAGAGGCTTCACAAGCACAACTTTTGATTTCTCTTTTTTCTTTTCTTTTTTTTTTTTTTTTTACGACTAGGTCTCGCTCTGTCACCCAAGTTGGAGTGCAGTGGTACAATCATAGCTCACTGCCGCCTCAACCTCCCAGGCTCCAGCAATCCTCCCACTTCTGCCTCCCAAATAGCTGAGACTACAGGCACATGCCACCATGCCTGGCTGATTTTTGTACTTTTTGTAGAGATGGAGTTTCACCATATTGCTCAGGCTGAGACTTCTAGGTAAAAATTAATTCCTTGTATTTTCTAGTGGTTGGTGAGTCACTACATTTTCAGAAGGCTATTACTAAAATTAAAATCTATATCACACAACTAGTAAATGGTAAGAAGTAGCAACCCAGAGGCATACTGAGTTTAAAGAAAAACCAACCTACTAACATTTTAATGTATCAAGTAAAAAAAATCTGCATTTAAATAATAAAAAATTAATTTCCAATATGTTTAGTCACCTTTCCAAAAAAATGGGCTGAGGAAAATAAGACTAGAGAAATATTTCAGTGTGGGCTGGACCTAATGACTTACTTCTAACAGACAGAATATGATAAAAGTAATGAATGCCACTTATAAGATTAGGTTCCAAAAAGACTCTGACTTCTGTCTTGCTCTCACTCTCTCAGAGCCCTTGGTCTGGGGAAGCAAGTGACCATATTATGAGTAGACCACACGGAGGAAGTCCACGTGGCAAGGAACTGGTATACTTGGCCCAAAGCCAGTCAGGACCTGAGGCCTACCAACAGCCACATGAATGAGCTTAGCACTGGATCTTCTAAGGCCTTCTAACAGCTATGTCACTTGATAGATCCTCCCCAAGTCAAGGCTTAAGGTGACTTCAGTCCTGGCTAACATCCTGATTGCAACCTGTGATTGACAGAGACACCCAGCAAAGTCACTCCCAGATTGCTGGCCCATAGAAACTATGAGACAATAAATGCTTGTCATCCTAAAAGCTGCTAAATTATGGGATAATCTCTTTAATGCATCAACAGATAATACATACTATCATGTCCCTGCAGCAATCTGGTTTGCCATATCTTTATTATCACTGGTCACCTAGCTTTTGAAAAGAGGGGAATTATTTTTGGCTGAGGGTTTTAGGGGAAATTGATCCTGAATGCCAAGGAATAGTCACATATAGAATGTTCCCACTTCAAGCTGTTTCTCTAGAGGAGAACTGCAGGGGGGAACAAAGTTAATTATAGCAGTTAAAAAGCATTTTTATCTTATTGTTTTATCCAAGTAGAGAACATATATATATGTATATGTTCATTTAAACTCATACTCTATATACAAGTACATACATATATAAGCATCATATAGAGAAAAAGATTAGAATAACAAATTGCCAATAGCGATTATCTTTGAATAGTTTTTCTACAATGAGCTAATGTTATTTGTGTAAGAAAAAAAAGCTACATTTACATATCCAAACAGGTATTTGTAACTCAAAAAAGGGGAAGTAATTAGGTTGCTATTACTTTGAAAGCAGATGTAAGTGAGTAGTTCAGGATAGAGACAAGGTTCTGGCTCAGCCTCTTACTAGTTCTGTACTTCAGTTTCCTCATCAGCAAGATAGGAAGAATATTACTTTTCCTCATAAGATTGTCATAAGAAATAAATGAGTTAATTCTCGTAAAGCACCTAGTACATAGTAAGGTGTTAGTAAAAGCTAGGTGTTCTTATCTTAGTGGCAATGTCTCCAAATAAAAGCCTAAGAATTTTCTTTGTTAAACCACAGATAATACTCAAACCCTGATAATAATAGAGTGTTTTTCTAAGAGGATATTTTACATTTATCAATGTAAAAATACCTTGTTTCAGCTTTAGAGAAGACTGGAACTTTCTTTTTCTTTTTCCTTTTTTCACTGATTGATTTGTCATCATGGAATAAAGTATCTGAGGGAAAGTAAGTCAACTGTTCTTTCAGTTTTTTTCTTATTTTCTTCTTAATCTCCTTTGCCATTTCTTCAGTTACATGGCGCTGATATGCTTGCATCAGTTCTTCGTCCTCTTCTAAATCATTCTCTTCTCTTCCCTCATTTGCCTTCTCACTTTTCTGATGATCAATGCCTGGCTGTGGCTTTGTACGCGCTTTCTGGTGTGTAGAATCAACTTCCTTCTCAGGAGTTTCCAGTTTCATGTCTTGTGTAGTCAACTGGAGCACCGTCTTTACCAACTTTTTATTTGGCTTTCCTTGTTTGTCTTCCTCTACACTAACATCATCATTAGGATTTTCAGTTGCTGACTGTGTGTTCCTCAATTTGTTTTTAGCGACTCTCATGGTCTTCTTCAGGTTGTTAGTGTTAGTAGCACTTACATCATCACTTGTAGTTTCTTTAATATGGGGAAGATTGCTTCTAACAGTGTCAGGCTAGGAAAAGAAGACATGATAACAAAGTTTCAGTTACGCATAGATTAATTATATAAAGAAAAACCTAATAATTAATGTTTGACAATGTGGAATTATTGGGAGGATTATTTAGTTTTTCACCTGGACACAGTGATACTATTTTAGAGCATTTGAGTACTCTCATAATTTATGCTTCCAGAATTTGATAAGCAATCTCTGAATGTAACTTCAGATGAAATGAGTTAACTGACATAGGAAAAAAGTACTTAAGGACCTTTAAGAAGTGAATTAATTGCTCAAATCTCAAATGCTATTTTCCTCATACATATTTTTCTCATGATATACACTCTAATATAATTAATAGATACCTGAGAAATTGCTAAAAGAGCCATTGAATTGATATTTCAGGCAACCCAATAGGAAATACACATGGGTCATTTATTTTGCTTCATAATTACACTGCAAAACCAAAAGTCCACAGCTCTAAGATCACCCTACACTAAATCTATCACTAGAATGCTGCTAAATATTATATATTAAGTTAAATCCAGTGACAGACTAAGCATAATCTTGTACCTCTTTCCCCAATTAAAGTTATTTATAATGAGATATATTTTTAATACAAAAAAATAAATAAGGATAAGAGTCAAGTAATATAAGGAGGAGGAGGGCATAAACTAGATAGACCAAAGGATGACCAATCAAGGAGCTGGGATGAACAGCTCTGCTTCCCATCTCCATTAGTGCTGACTTTCACCCATGGATTAAGCATGGCAGCACAGAGAGAAAGGGCAGTATACTTCAGGTAGGTACAATTCCCACAAACTGCAGAGGCAGACCATGTCAAAAACAACCAACAAGGAACAGAACAGACATTCTCAAATATAAAGATGGCTTGACAACGGAAAATTAACAAACACTAAAGGAAGGTAGCACAATGAAGGAAAGCCACCAAATCAAACACAATAAATAAATGAACACCAAAGAAAAATACATATCATAAATAAGAATTTTAAATAAGTATAATTGATATTAATAAAGAAATGCAAAAGCATACTGGACCAAGAAAACCCAACTGCTGATATCAAAATAAAATTCTGAATAATAGAAATAAAAGTTTAACAGATGTGTTGAAAAACAGAATGGACAAAAACCATTGCTGACTGTATGTTCCTCAATTTGTTTTTAGTGATTCTCATGCTTTTCTTCAGGCTGTTAGTGTCAGCAGTACTTACATCATCACTTGTAGTTTCTTTAATATAGTGAGGATTGCTTCTAATAGTGTCAGGCTAAAAAAGAAGACATAATAACAAAGTTTCAGCTCAGCGTAGATTGGTTGTATAAAGAAAAACTCAATAATTTATGTTCAACAATGTGTAATTATTGGGAAGATTATTTAGTTTTTTACATGGACATAGTGATACTATTTTAGAGCACTTGCTGAGTACTCTCATAATTTATGCTTCAGAATTTCATTAATAATCTCTGAATATAACTTCAGATTAACATTTTGGACTAACACTCTGGATTCATTTTGTCGTGCAGAATGTTACACTGTAATGTATGAATGTTACATGTTAACATTTGGTGCTACAAGATGAATCTAAAATCAAAATGAAGAAATGTGCCAGAAATGAATAAACTTAACAATACATACTGGAGTTTGACCTTTGAAACTCCCCATATTTTAAAAGTAGTTAAAAAATATCCAATGTACATAAAAAGGTGATTTTAAAAACGCTGAAAGAACTAGTATCCCAATACATATCTAAAATCTTACCATCTCTAAGACTCTTTTGCTCACCTAAAATATATTTCCAAATTCTATCTGTTCTTTGAGGGCAAATTATGATGCCATAGGCTCCAAAAAAACTTCACCAATCAAATCGAATAAAAATAACATTTCTCTTAAAAAAAAAGTTTATTTTCACATGTTCTGTTTTAGAAGCAATATTTAATTTTAAGTAGTAAAAATAAATAAATAAGGAAAAAAACACACAAAATACACACACACACACACACACAAAACCCAAAGCTAGCAGAAGACAAGAAATAACCAAGATCAGAGCAGAAATGAAGGATACAGAGACACAAAAAACCCTTCAAAAAATCAATGAGGCTGGGCATGCTGGCTCACGCCTGTAATCCCAGCAGTTTGGGAGGCTGAGGCAGGTGGATCACATGAGGTCAGGAGTTTGAGATCAGCCTGGCCAACATGGTGAAACCCTATCTCTATCAAAAATACAAAAATTAGCCAGGCATGATGGTGCACACCTGTAATCTCAGCTACTTGGGAGGTTGAGATACAAGAATCACTTAAGAGAAGAATCAAAGAGACACAATAAAAAATGATACAGGGGATATCCCTATTGACTCCACAGAAATGCAGACAACCATCAGAGAATACTACAAACACCTCTATGCAAATAAACTAGAAAATCTAGAAGAAATGGATAAACTGCTGGACACATACACCCTCCCAACACTGAACCAGGAAGAAGTTGAATTCCTGAATAGACTAATATACAAGTTCTGAAACTGAGGCAGTAATAAATAGCCTACAAACAACCAAGCAAAAAAAGCCCAGGACCAGATGGATTCACAGCTGAATTCTACCAGAGGTACAAAACGGAACAGGTACCATTTCTACTGAAACTATTTCAAACAATTGAAAAGGAGGGGCTACTTCCTAACTCATTTTATGAGGACAGCATCATCCTGATACCAAAACCTGGCAGAGACACAACAAAGAAAGAAAAAAACGTTAAGGCCAATATCCCTGATGAACGTCGATGCAAAAATCCTCAATAAAATACTGGGAACCAAATCCAGCAGCACATCAAAAAACTTATCCACCACCATCAAGTCAGCTTCATCCACGGGATGCAAGGCTGGTTCAACATACACAAATCAATAAACACAATTCATCACGTGAACAGAACTAAAGACAAAAACCATATGATTATCTGAATAGACACAGGAAAAGGCCTTCGATAAAATTCAACATTGCTTCATGTTAAAAATTCTCAATAAACAAGGTACTTACAGGAACATACTTCAAAATAAGAGCCATTTATGACAAATCCACAGCCATACTGCCCAAAGTAATTTATAGATCCTATGCTATTCTTATTAAACTACCATTGACGTTCTTCACAGAATTAGAAAAAACTACTTTAAAATTCATACGGAAACAAAAAAGAGCCTATATAGCCAAGACAATCCTAAACAAAAAGAACAAAGCTGGAGACATCACACCACCTGACTTCAAACTATACTGGAGTAACCAAAACAGCATGGTACAGGTACAAAAACAGACATATAGACCAATGGAACAGAAATAAGACATCAGAAAGAAGGCTACACATCAACCATTTTATATTTGACAAACCTGACAAAAACAAGCAATAGGGAAAGGATTCCCTATTTAAAAGTGGTGCTGGGAAAACTGGCTAGCCACATGCAGAACATTGAATCTAGACCCCTGCCTCACACCTTATACAAAAATTAACTCAACATAGATTCAACACTTAAATGTAAAACCCAGAACTATGAAAACCCTAGAAGAAAATCTAGGCAATACGATTCAGGACATAGGCACAGGCAAAGATTTCATAACAAAAAATGTCAACAGCAACTGCAATAAAAGCAAAAATTGACAAATGGGATCTAATAAAAGAGCTTCTGCACAGCAAAAGAAACTATCATCAGAGTGAACAGACAACCTCCAGAATGGGAGAAAATTTTTGTAATCTATCCATTTGACAAAGGTCTAATATCTAGTATCTACAAGGAACTTAAACAAATTTATAACAAAAAACCAAACAACCCCATAAAAAAGTGGGCAAAGGACATGAATACACACTTCTCAAAAGAAGACATTCATGTGGCCAATAAACATGATAAAAAGGTCAACATCATTGATGGTTAGAGAAATACAAATCAAAACCACAATGAGATACCATCTCACACCAGTCAGAATGGCAATTATTAAAAAGTCAAGAAACAACAGACACTGGTGAAGCTATGGAAAAATAGGAATGCTTTTACACTGTTGGTGGTGTTAGTTCAACCATTGTGGAAGACACTGTGGCGATTCCTCAAAGACCTAGAACCAGAATTACTATTGGATCCAGCAATCCCATTACTAGACATATACCCAAAGGAATATAAATCATTCTATTATAAAGATACACACGTGCATATGTTCACCGAAGCACTATTCACAATAGCAAAGACATGGAATCAACCCAAATGTCCATCGATGATAGACTGGATAAAGAAAATGTGGTACATACACACCAAGGAATACTAATCAGTCATAAAAAGGAAAGAGATCATGAAGGGACATGGATAAAAGGCAGGAACAGAAAACCAAACACTGCATGTTATCACTTCTAAGTGGGAGCTGAACAGTGAGAACATACGGACACAGGGAGAGGAAAACAAACACTGGGGCCTGTCAGGGAATCTGGGGGAGGGAGGGCATCAGGATAAAAAGCTAATGCATGTGTGGCTTAATACCTAAGTGACAGTTTGATCGGTTTGTTACCTATGTAACAAACTTGCAAGTCCTACACATGTACCCCGGAATATAAAATAACATTTTTAAAAATTGCTATTTTTTTCAGAATGTTCTTTTTCTATGACTTCATTCATATCTCAATAACCTTGAATTTCCATTATGTTAAAACGGGGCATATGCAAATTTTTATTTCTACTTTTTCAGTGAGTACCAATAATGTAGCACCAATATATACAAATTGTGAGTATACTCCTGAAGGAAATAATTAGAAAAAGAGCTAATCAAGAATTAGAAAGAGAAGACTGACTTAGTCTCAAGGAAAAAATTTTAAAATTGAAACTCCAGGCAAGCTAATCGGAAAAGGCTGTTTTTTGTTTATTTACTACTGATCTGTCAGCCTTTGCACTAATAACATTAATTTTATGACTTTATATTATTAATTTGTCTTTTTCTTTAGTTCTGTTTTTTAAATACTGCAGCGAATGAAGTTCCCAGAGTATTTTCAGTAGCATCTCTACCTTTCATAGCATTATACTGACATTTTCATTACTTTTTAAATAGCCTGTTTTTGTGGTTTTGATTTCCTTTTCCTCTCTAACAGCTTTATGGGATAAATTCCCAAGCAGTTTGTAAATCATAAACGTTTGTTAACTTCTAGTCATACTGTACCATTGTTTAAAAAAAAAAAGTCTCCTTTGTTTCAACAGTTTCATGGATCAAATTGTATTTGAATTTTGAAACATCCCAAATACATTTGTTCACTCATGTTTCTATTATATCTTTGCCCATCTTTTACCTCTTTAAACAATTCAGGTTTTTTTGCTTTGGTTTGTGTGCTATTAAAATCAGCTTTATTAAGATATAGCTTACATCAATAAAATTCACCAATTTTAATTGTATAATTAAATGAATTTTGGCAAATGTATACAGTCATGTGACCACCATCATAATCATGACATTGAACATTTCCATCATTCCACATATCCTGTTACAGAGTCAACGCCTTCCCTCCATGCTCTGTCCCTACTCAGCCACTGATCTGGTATCACAATAGCTTTGCCTTGTCTAGACTTTCACATAAATGAAATTATACCATCTGTAGCCTTTTGTGTCTAGTTTCCTTCATTCAGCACAAAGCTTTTAGGATTCATCCATGTTGCTGTATTTATAGCAGTTTATTCCATTTTTGTGGAGTAGTATTCCATTGTACAGTTATATGCCACATTTTGTTTCTTCATACACCAATTAATAGATGTGAATTATTTCCAGTTTTGTGCTAGCATTAGATATGTTTTCACTTCTTTTGGGTAAATATCCAGAAGTGGAATTGCTGTGCTACAAGATAAGTAGATATTTAACTTATTAAACAATTGCCAAACAGCTTCTCACACTGGCTGTACTATTTTGCATTTTTATCAGCAATTTCTAAGAGTTCCAGTTACTTACCATCCTTGCCTGCACTTAATACTGTCAATTTTTGTTTTGTAGCTGTTGTATGAGGTGTGCAACAGTACCTCAGTATTGTTTTAAACTTCATTTTCCTAATTACTATGACAGCAAGACTCTTCACATGTGCCTATTTGCTGTCTATAGCTCTTCTTCAGTTAAGCGTCCAAATCTTTTGCCCTTTTTTGTTAGGCCGTTTGTTTTCATATCAGTGAGCTGTAGGAGCTCTTAAAATATTCTAGATACAACATTTTATCAGAGAGTGCTTTAAAAATATTTTATCCAAACCTACAGCTATAAAACATTTTCATTTCCATA